CCTGGGAATAATTGGCCCGAGGCCAAACTAATTTTTTCGCACTCATTTGAGTGAGGCTTAATGTCGTCACACCAATTATTAATATGAGAGTGTCTCGCACATCAGCGCACGCGATTAGTAGTGTACAATTGTAAAACTAAAGGTCCATAAATTCAGAATGACACCTTTAAACCCTGTAACTATCTCAATTTGAAATTATTGTCGTCCGGTGATAATACTTTTGAAGTTTTAATTTTTGATAACGAATAAAAATTGTGATTTCCCCCCAGATCACGAAGAGTAACCCTTTCCGCGACAAATTCTTCGTGAAGTTTAGACGTTTTTAACAGTGAAAGGGGGGAGGGGGGCGGGGGTCATTTCGTGGGCGGTAGTGTCTCGAAATCATGCAGCTCGGTTTTCCGGGTAGTAGTTAAGGCCCCCGCTCTGCCCCATTGTGCGCGGTGAGGCGGCGGATATCGTCCAAAATGCCGCAGGACAAGTGCATGGCTTGCTTTGCCCGCAGCCGGCTCTACTCCAAAACCTCTCAAACTTGCCGCATCCGACAGCACACCAAACGCAGGCTCTCCCGTTTCATTCATTCGTGCCGTCACGCGGATGACCCGGCCAGCCCACAGCATGCAGACAGGCCCCGCTGGTGTTGGTTCTCAGGGATGTAAAGTTAAGCAGCACTCAGTGAGAGGCTGGGCGCAAGAGAACAGCTCAAGCCTTGGCGCCCGAGCTCAGCGTTCCCACACAAATCGCTGTGTGTGCGTGCCGAGTCTCTATGGTGTTGCAGATGCGGGCTGCGACAGCGTCGGCTTGGTGAGCGTGTGGGGAGCGAGAGGGGGAGGGAAGGGGAGAGAGAAGCTGGGAGCAGCAACAGCCAAGAGCGATGTGGCAGGGGCATCAGCAGCCTGCGAGCCTGCGGTGGAGATGGAGGTCGCGGCGGGCGCACACAACGACCGCAGCCGCACTTTTGGCCATGTCATAACTCGGCGTGCTGCTGCTGCCGCTGCCGGTGCGGTGCCTCGCGCGCAGGCTGCCCACGCTGCGCACGCTGGGGAGGGGTAGGGCGGGCTTGTCTGCGAGGAAAAACAGTCTGCGGTAATAAAAACGCAACGCACTAATAGTCGAGGGCGCGGCTTGGGGGTGGCGGGGCGGGGCGCGCATACGGGGATGTTATGGGCGGACCGTGCTGCTGCAGCGCACGGCCACACCAGGGGGTAAGGGCCTCGTACGGCAGAGGTTAGTGGCTGCACCGCCCGCCAGAGCGGGGGGCATGGTGGGTAGCAGGTGATGACCTACTGCGAGGCGGGGTGGTGGTGCCGGAAATATGAGAATGCTCTTCCCCCATCTTTCTGCTGCTCTTGCTGCAAGTAGGGCTCGGCGGCGACTTCGCGTCGCGCGGCAGCTGCCGGAGGATGAACAGGCACTGCCTCGCCAAGCATCGGAGCGTTTCAGGGCTGTCGGGAAGGGAGCTGGCGGGCAGTAGGGCGGGGACATTCTAGGGCTGAAGGGCAAGTCTCGAGACACTTGATTTTGGCCAAATACTTTTTTTATTCTTGTGATCCGTGATTCGGATTCACCAAGCCAGACGAATTTTAGTCCAGCCGCTATTGTCTTGTGTTGGCGCAAACCTTGCCTAGCACACGAGAAGCGGCTGCGCATTCATGGACATCTTGGCACTGCATGCGTCTCTTACGTATTCACTCCCGCCTCCAGCCACGGGCGGGCCTCTCTGGTGAAAGACTATAACAAAACCACGACTGCTGCTAGTCATCGCGCCCCAAGGTCGCGCGGCAGCGGTGGTAGCTACTGCAGCATCGCGGTTTTCAGGTCCATCCCCCACCCCACCCCTGACAGGATCGCACAAAGCGATGCGGAGCGTGGAGCGGCGTTGCGGAGCGAGGCGCTTACGTTGCTGTGGGAGGCATTGTGTGTGATAGGCGCGGGATGAATAACCATGAAGGTGGTGCGGGCTCGGTACGAGCTTGGGGAAAAATCGACATTTCCGTGTATTACTCCCCCCCCCCTTTTTTTGTGTTGCACGTGCAGCACGAGTTCAATCCAAAGGATATCGATGTCCCGATACGCCGCGCCCGCCGCTACCTCCCTCGCGAGCTCGTTTGTTATTCACACACATGGCGCGGAATAGGTAATTAGTTACTCCGGAGCAGCTAATTTCCTGCACAAACACCGCCGCGCCACCAGACGACCCGGCGGCGGTGGGAGGGAAGCTCGGCAGAAGGAAGCTGGCCCGGCGCAAGCCTGCCGCGGGCGCACCCGTGACCTGGCGCAACATGCACAAGAACGAGATCTCGAACCACCTAGCGCACCTCATGCGGGCGGGAGATTTAATATGCCGGAGGGCGCGCGCGGGGGGCGAGCCTGCCTGGTAGGAAAGAGAGAAAAGAAGAAAACCTTCGCGAGGGAAAAAGAGCGCGACGGTGTACAAAGAAACGGGTGAATGTATTTTAAACGTACTACTAACGTACTAGACTACACAACCGTAAGAACTGATCCGGTAAATCTTTTAAAAGTTGTGTATGCTCGGCAACGTGAGCCCGCCTGCAACCACATATGAGCACTTACCGATGTGTCTCTCGCGGGTGCGGAGGGGGATGCCGTCCATGGCGAGCGGCTGGCTGCGGCCCTTCGCGTTGCTGGCGTACAGCACGAGGTGCAGGGTGGGCGTGCGCGCGGGGAGCAGCTGCCCGGGGTCAAGGCGGAAAGCGGGCTCCGGGGCGGAGACGTTGTAGCGCAGGCGCATCGTACGCGACTCGTAGGCCTCGAGGTGGAACGTCTGCTGCAGGCCGCCGTCAGGCCCAGCCATGCACTCTACGTCCAGGACGCCCGAGCCGGGCGGTGGCGTGTCGAGGCCGCCGCCTTGGTGGCCGCCCAGCGCGTTGCTCGTGCCCGACGCCGGCACGGGCGCCAGCAGCTGCAGCGACGAGCCGTTGGACGCAGCCGCCGAGCGCAACGTGCAGTTGTGCACAGGGCTGGGCCGCACTGCAATACAAGAAACACATTCAAGTTTAGGCGTTGCTCTCCATCACCAGAAAAATTGAAGGAGATATTGTATGATCCAATGAGTGTAAGGAAACTTTTTTAGAACACGAGGACACACACGTAGGGAAAGGGGGAGAAGAAAAGTGAGGAGGAAGGGAGTCAGTCCACAATGTGTCGATGTGGCGACATTCAGCAGTGCCTCACCATCCGTGAAAGTATTCACGAGGCCCTGCCCTACAGCCAACGTTGCTGCTGCTGTCATATACTCGTTTTATCACGATCTTTTTTCATATTGATTTTCCTCTGCTGCTGTAAATTCTACCCTTCCCCCGCCTCACCCGCCTGGGGGAGGCGCGCCCATCATCTTTATTGCTGACGCCCCAAAGAGATATGCGTAGCAGCTCCCGGTGTATCGATCCCACTTCGCGGCCAAACGGCCCGATCGCGATCGCGGAATGTCGTGCTAAAAAGGAATGCAGGCCATACGGCGCGGCTCTTTGAACTAAAGCCATCTAAGCCCGCCTGTGCACATTTGTAATATTTCTGCTACATCCAATAAACAAATTACAGAACCTGATACAACAGCGTGTTCTACGGTCGTGACCGTGAGAAAAGCCATCCTTCTGTCGGATTATCAGATGTGCACGCTCGTAACAGTTCTGGATTTTGGGAGCCTCCAAGATCACATCACATTATAAAATATAAAGGATTTTTGAACGATTTGCACCTATTTCAGAGATCGTGACAAATCATTTTGCACGTTTGCTGAATTAAACTTTTAAAAACGCGCGAGCCATTGTTGTGACAGAAACGCGCGAGCCACACGTGCCAACACCGGCCGCAAGAGTGGACTAACGTGTCTAAGCCACGCTGCGGCCGCTACCGCTCTTCTTTAATGCAAACGACACGCAAACGTCACTTGGGCGAGAGCAGCCGCGCCTCGCCGACCTATCGCGTACAATTGTGAGCGCCGGCGCGTTAACGCCCGGTGTGGCACCTTTACGACAGAGTCGCTCCCTAACCGGAATAACGCGGAATATGACTTGGTCTCGTAAACTCGTGCAGGCTCGCCTGTGCCAGGCAAGCCGGTGGGGGGAAGGGAGGTTCTTTTCAGGATTGAGATGTAAAGCGAATCGTGTCGCCGAGCGTCGGATCTGACCGAGCTGTCACTGCTGGGCTGCGTGAGAGGGCGCAATCGTCTACTGCGTTCACAGTCGCTTCCAAGGGTGTGTGTGTGCGCGCGCACCCTCGCGAAGGCGGCTGGTAGCGTTGGAGGGGTGCGAAATATACATTGCGTTTTGCCGAATGGCGACTTTGGACGCCGTCCTCCAGCAGCTGCTTGCCACGTTAATGCCAACGTTTTATAGCGCACGCGCGTTTTACGAGAAACCCCTTTTCTCCTCCACTACTTTCCACGTACCGCCACACCTTTGCCAGTGGGCGAGAGGAGTGGGGGGGAGGCATTCCAAGGCGTTCCGACTCCAGGGGTCCAAATGATATACTCACTGGCGGGGATGACCCTGAAGACGCAGGGGTCGCTCTGGCCGCCAACGCTGTTGCGGCCCCAGCAGGTGAGCGTGCCGTAGTCCTTGTCCGACTCTGGCTGGTACCGCAGCTCCGAAGTGGTGGCATTGTGCGGCCCGGTCTTCTGCGGCGACACCTCGAACGTGTCGGCGTTGTTGGTGAGGCGCCACGTGAAGCGGACGTCCTTGGGGTCCGCGTCCACTGCACAGTGCACGCGCACCGTCTCGTCCAGCGACGCGCCCACCACGACGGGCACGGCGCTGCGGCACACGGGCGCATCTGCGGGCAGAGGAGCGCAGGAGTCACAACACGACAATAGAAATACTTTTTAAAACTTAGAATAGAATGATACTGTTAGATTTAACCAATCACAGCAGTCTTTATTGAAGCAAGACTGCGTGTGCCTGAAGTGTAAGAAACGCGTCGAAATGTTCGTCGTCACCCGTTTACTGTGCAGGCAAACCTCTAGCTGACAACGTCAGAGGCCGGGACGCGATTTTGTTAACGCTACTTCCATGGCCTTGCAGCAGCCGCCTAACTCTTAGACATGGCGACAGTTGGGCGGTGAGGGGGGCACAACGGGGCGAGGAGGGGTTCGAGGCGAGACACGGCAGAGGGGTTGGGCAAGGTAGGAGGCGGCGTAGCTTCGAGTTTGCCCTTCTAAAGGACGTAAACAAGGTGGGGCAGGGCAAGGTACGGCGAGGCAGAGCAAGGCGCTCTGTGGGTGGGTGTCAGGCGAGGGAACTTTATTCACAAAGTCCACGTCGAGGCTGCGCCCGCCCCAACTCGCCACGTACCGCCCCATCCGGCCATCCGGGCCCCGCTCTCCTCGTTATGGCTCACGGGACCCATCAACGGTTGGGGGCCGCAGCCTGCGCGCCCGGACCGCCCGGCCGAGGTGCGACACGCCGCCTTGTTGAGCGGGCACACGGGCGACAATGGTGTCGCCGACCTGGTCATTTAGTTATCAGCCTAAACGCATCGCAGAGGTGCGGGCGGCGGGCGCAAACGGGCGACCTGCTGCGTGCGGTTAAATAGTTAGAAAAATGCTTCAACGACAGATGCGTATCGAGCGATGGGTCAAGCACCGTGACGCCAGTTGCGGTGACGCGGCCAATTTAAGTCCTCGCGTAGAAGGGAAATTGAAGGAGGAGGGAAAGGGGAGGCGTGGACCTCTCGGTAGAGGGGAGGAGCTGGAGTGAGAACGGGACCTGCAGCAGCACGGCGCCACTATCGTAACCACAAGCCCCAAACCGCATACCAAAGACGGAGCCGGCAATCTCAAAGGAATCCATGTATGCCCGTGTTGCCTGGGTCTCCCAACTCCCCCTACTCCCCCCTCTACCTTTCCCCTCAAGTGGGGTTCCGCACGCCCTCTCCGCCGCGCGCGCAGGGCCCCAAGCGTCACTACTCACCCACCACCAACACCGGTCCACACGTACGCGCGCACACACACACACGCGCAAGCGCAAACGTCGCGGCACCAATACATCCACGGACCAACTGGAATCGGTCTCCGGTCCTACAACACCGCAACATGGGGGGACCCCGGGAGCAAGGAGAAGTAGGGCATCACACTTTCTTTTCTTTTTTCCGGCCCCACTGCGGCGCCGCAAAAATTAGGAGAAGTAAATGACCCCCAGGCTGTACGTCACCTCCGCCCCCTCCACGCCCCGCTCCAGTGGGAGATAACGTACTCACCGGGCGCACGGCACCTTCCTCATAAATCCCCCTCCGCCCCGCCTGCCCCCGCGCCGCTCTCACACCTCCGCGAGGCTCCCGCCCGCCCGGCTCCTTCCCATGGGCTTCACCGCTCCTCCACCTCCTCGGGCCGGGCCGCCGAGGGAATCCAAACCGTCCGCCCCGCTGTGTCCGCGATTTATATTTGAGACGCGACTCAAAGGACGACCTCCTTTGGTTAGAGCCGTAGGAAGAGGGGGGCAGGAGAGGGAAGGGAAAGAGGGCCCGGGCGGCCAGGAAGAATGAGGAAGGAATTTTGAGAGCGCGTGCGGCAGCAGCGCGGCCGAGCAAGTAGTCTGAAAAGTGGTTGAGGTAAAGCCAGCCCAGTGCCTCGAGGGCGGCGGCGCGGGGCGGGGCGCGAGGAATTGCTCCCTCATCGTCGGTAAATTGAGAAGGGCTAGGTGCCGGGCAAAGCCGGATTTAGGGCCCGCCCAGCTAGCCGCGACGGGGTGGGATGGTGCGCGGCCGCAGCGCAGAGAGCCACTCATCCCGGGGGCGCGTTAACACCCGTTATGGAAATAGTGTTGCGGCCGGGCGGGTCTAACTGCCGGCTGACGCTGCTCTCTGTCGCTGTATGCTGGCGCGCCTGGAGGGCAGGCGGCCCGGTCACACCCGGGAGCTGTTGTTGCCTATCCTCCGATGCGCAGGGGCTCCAGTGCTCGCTCGCCCTCAGCGCACACTAGCACTTAAGGTCGCGAGGCTCCCGGGTAGTCGAGGCCGGCGCTCCGACAGACGGGCTGTCAGAGCCAGCTCCCTCCCGGTGGGGGCCGCACAGTCCACCGACGCGATGGCTAGCCAAGCCGCTTTTCCTTTCCACCCACGTCGGGCCGATCATTTGTGTAAAAAAAAAAAACATGGCCATTACTGTCCTATTCCCCAACCCTGAATCCAGATGGCTGCCCCAGGGGCGCCCTCGGCCGCCATTCCCTGACCTAAGCTACCACGAAAAAAGGTAAAACAACCACGGCACTGTCCTGTCGCCCTCCCCCCTCGCCACAAGCCTGTTTGTGTGCAGGCCGATGTCATAGTCTGTCAATCCGTCTTGGAGGCGATCGAAGTCTTTATCGCTTGACGGAACGAGTGCATATGCCGCACGGCAGTGATGAGCCGAGCCCCGACTGGTGCGGACTTCTTGCAGGGCACATATAACACAAACTTGGCTCACCGAGACGGTAAAGAAAAAGAAGGTGAATCCAAGAGAGACAAAAATTAAGGTCACCGTCACAGGGCCAGCCTGGAGGAACGTGACAGGACTGGGAATCCCAAGGCAAAGGAGGGCAGGTGTCTGATAAGCACTACACCGGGCCTGAACCCCTCCGGCCGCCAACGCCCCCGCCGGGGCAACGCGCTGCTCAGCTTCCCAAAATTTAAGGGCCGGGCCATCCAGTTAGTTCAGTCAAGAGTTTATTTCACTTCCTTCTCCTTATCTCCAGGGAGAGCCTGAACGGGCGAGGTGGGGCGAGGCAGAGCGGCGGGGCAACCCAACGGAGATCTAAATACAGCGATAGAGGTCGCTTTAAGTCAAGCTGTGCGCCGCGGGGTGGCCTGTCTAGCAGCACCTTAGGCGAGGTGAGGACGAGAGAAAGAGAGAGAGAAGAAGGCACACACAATAGGCTTGACAGAGACTGACCAGTGACAAAGCCAAAGTACGAACGGAGAAAGACAGAGACGCTCGCTACAAAAGTCCATTGGCGGCCGGCGGCAATGCTCAGGCAGGCCCTCGGGCTGTGCTAATTGAACTTAACTAGCTCCAGCCAGCTCTCTGGCTCTAGCCTGCAGGAGAGGCGAGAGGGGCGGACCGAAAGCGTCGGCACGCCCTGCTCCAGCAAACCTGCCCCCCCCCCCTGGTCCCTGTTCGGGCTGTCAAAGAGACCAACACCAAACTCGACAGCGGTGCCCAAAGCTACGAGGGTTGTAAGTGGTCAGCATAGTCTCTCCCCCTTTCCGTCCCTGTAGTGCGTCTTACCCTCTGCTTTTCACCCCATCCCCTGCTTCCACCCTGCCGCTCCCACACACTGTCGCAGCCCCGGGGCTGCAGGCCTATCAGCCAGTGTGACAGATAGGGTCCAGCGTGACCCGGCACAGACAGGCAACTCCCTGCGGATTGAAGTCCCTCATAACACACCCGGTGGCGGGGCCCCAATTAGCCAGCCGTCACGGCCTTATCTCCGGCAGCTCTAAATGACACAACGAGTTGTGCAGCTGCGAGTGTGTTTGTGAGGAGCACTGTGCGGCGTGGTGATCCCAACA